AATGAGGTCAGAGGTTCATTGGTTAACTCTAGTTTTATTTGTCTATCATACTCAGCAGTGGCTTATTGAAACAGGTTCCGTGCTTCATTGATTTGTGTACATGTCAGCAGGAGTAAGAATCTGGCTATTGGAGAAAAGGGAAAGAAAAAAACCACTTTATTTCTTCTGTGTGTGTGTGTGTGTTGGTTTGTTTGTTTATTGTTTTTGGCTTATTGTATTATACACAAAGCACATAGTTTTGTTGATGTTGTTTTAAATTTCCCATTTGGCTGCTATAACTAGGAAGATCCCCCAATTGATTATAATTGCAAAAATATTTCCGGCCGTTTGCTATCTTTTTTTTTTTTCTTTTGCTGAGGAAGTTTAGCCCTGAGCTAACATCCATTGCCAATCTTCCTCTTTTTTTTTTTTTTTTTTTGCTTGAGGAAGATTAGCCCTGAGCTAACATCTGTGCCAGTCTTCCTTCAGTTTATATGTGGTTCGCTGCCACAGCATTGCTGACAAGTGGTGTAGGTCCAAGCCGGGGATCTGAACCCATGAACCTGGGCTGCCAAAGTGAAGTGCACCAAACTTAACCACTATGCCATGGGGCCAGCCCCTTGCTATCTTATTTTTAAAGCTGTTTTTCCCCCCTGTTTTGGTGGTGGTTGTGATGGGATTTTTAAGGTATAATTCCAAAATTCAATTGCCTGAGTACTTCCTAAGTAGATCACCTTGAATGCAAGCATATGGGATGGGGAGATATTGTTATAGCCATCTGTGGAAAATACAGTTTGCCACATTTCTATTAATTTTAATCCTTTGCTTATATGAACACTTTTGCCATAAACCCCTTTTTAGTCGTATTTCTCCTGACTTGGGTGATTATATGTATAGAATAAATTCCTGGCATAAGGACTGCTAGATCAAAGGGCATGTAGCTTTCAAATATTAGGGGATGTCTAATTGCACTTTTAAATGGCTGCACCAGTTTATACTGATTCCTCACTCTCATCCTAACAGAAGTTTATCAAACTTTTTGGTCTTTTGTCTGTCTCATAATGAAAAGTGCACTCTTTTTAAGGAGCTGCTCGTCTTTTTCTTATCAATTAATAAGAGCTCTTTGGGTATTAAGCCTTTTGTCTTACCTACATTGTATTGCATACATCTTTTCATTTTGTTTTTTTGCCCTCTGCCTGTGTGTGTCAGTCAGTCTATGTCTATTTTTATATCTACATGTATATATCTTTACTTATACCTATACTTTGGTATCTATATGTCTATCTGAGATGTTATGAATTGCCAGAATGTGTGCTTGTCCATAAAATACAAAGATGCATGCTAAAAATTCAAAAGTTTTGGCACATTATATTGTGTTAGATTTTTTTTTTTTTCAAGATTTTATTTTTTCCTTTTTCTCCCCAAAGCCCTATGGTACATAGTTGTATATTCTTTGTTGTGGGTCCCTCTAGTTGTGGCATGTGGGACGCCACCCCAGCGTGGCCTGATGAGCAGTGCCATGTCCGCGCCCAGGGTTCGAACCAACGAAACCCTGGGCCGCCTGCAGCAGAGCGTGTGAACTTAACCACTCGGCCACAGGGCCAGCCCCTATTGTGTTAGATTTTTTTAACACTTGATCTTTGATCATTGCTACTCTTAATTGAAATGATCATAATTCACCTATGAAAAATTATTTTTGGCAGTAAAATTCATATAACATAAAATTCACCATTTTAACCATTTCAACGTATAGACAAATTTTTAAATGTATATTTTATATAGAAGATTAAATGTTGCCATTTAATACATTTTAAAATATATAATATGATTAAATAAGAAAAACATAATTGAAGGAGCAATTCCATTAGAAATAAATATGATTACTTAAATGACTCCAGTAAGATTTAGTAAGAGTCAAAACCATAGTATTCATTTTACTCCAGTAAGACTCTGCAAAGTTTACTTGAGTGATATTTTTATCAGATTAAACTGAAAATGTATTTTTAAGTTGTCTTAATGAGTATGATAGCATGGCTAAATGTTGCTATGTCTTACTTCTCAGAATAAACTGTATTATAAAATAACTCCAAACAATTTGTGCCTGTAGGTCAGAGATGATTGGAAAACTAGATGCAACTGTATTTCCCATCAATATATGTAACAGTCATTAGATTACACATTTATGAACCTTCTTCCTGTCTTCAACTGCAAATATGGCAATAAATAATAAAACCTTTTGTTAATAGCTTTATGTAGGACTGTGTCTACAGTTACAGCTTTGTGAAAGTAGAAGATTGCACAGTGGCAAGTTCAAATAACCTGAGACTTTAGATATTTTACTATATCGAGTTATTATTGAGAATCTTAAAGGAAAGGAAAGTTGAAGTCTCCAAAACACTTTTATTTCATGTTGGATTTAAGAAAACTTTGTTATAAGCAACAGTCTTACATTATCTGACAATTATTGCATGAAAATTCTGTTCTTTATTTAAGTTTTTGGTTACTTATATAAGCTTAAAATTTCAAAGTTGCTTATAGTCTTTTCATTTTCAATACAGCACCGTCTTGCCCTCCCCCAAAAATAAAATCGTTCAGACTTATATTTCATGTTACATTAAATGTAAAAGTTTTTAATAGTTCTTGTGTAAAATTTAGTTAATAACGATAAGAAAAATATATTTGACATTCTAATATTTTATTTAAAGAAGTGTCCTGAAAGTCTGGTTTTCAACTTGAGTATTGTTTGCGTTATGTGCAATTATTATCAAGATTCTGAATCTACAGGTGTTTTACTTCTAGCTTAAGCTATTTATTTCAGAATAGAGGACTGTTTTTTAGATTTGCTTCTAGAATGAGTAGTTCCTCGTGAGGCTTAATTTTTTTAAATACAGTTAAAACAAAGAAGGAAGGCATTCATTTTCGTGTTGAAAATGCTTCTTAGAGGGAACATTTCCTCATATGGTCCGACTATTAAATGCAGGTGAAATAAACCAAAAAAGGAAGCTTGTTTTTTTCCAACCATAAAGTAACTGAAGAAATGACTCAAGGCACTTTCTTGTATAAATACATATTTTTATTACTTTTTCTTATATCTCAAAGATACGTTTTGATAAGCTGAATACTTTCTATAATAAAATTGATTATTTTAATTTAGTTTGTAAATGATCTACATTAAGTGATTTTTTTAAAATTATAACTTCATAGTCAGTGTAATCTAGTGAGAACATTTTTGGCTCTAGCAGAAACAGAATTCTGTTCTTGGGTCTGGCTTTGTATGTAACACCAAGTACGTCATTTTTCTTCCATATGTACCTCATTTACTGTAGTGTTTCTATTATATTTCAGACTTTCATATGGTGGGTAGTATCTGTAGCCTGGAAGGACACTTAGCAAGTACACTAATTGCACTTTTGTGGTATGGTCTATTCTCCAGGCTTACTATTTATTGATTTAATTGATGCCTGCTGCTTAATCAGAGGTTTTACCCACATGGAACTATTTGATAAGCTTGGCATAAAATGCAAGATCTGTGAAATGTAAACAATGTTCATAGTATAAGGACCTATAATCAAGCCAGACCTCTAGTCATTTGAAAATAGTGCAGCTGCATAAGAAGTAGTTTTCTATTTGATCTTTTTTTGCTGTGGACATTTAAAAGTACTGTCTTTATTGTGGCATCCACATGCTAATATTTACAATGATAGCTCATCTCTTTTTCCCCCTTTTGCTGTCCTTCCTCCCCCAGCCCCCTGCCCTTTTCCACTCCCTTTATGTACGTCTTACTCTGGTTCCTTCTTTTCCTCACTGAATATCTTTCTTTTTGCTTTTTCTGATTTTGTTAATTCTGACTTTCTTTTTTAGACTAATCTAAGTCAGACCATACTGAGTGTACTGCTGAAGCAGCTGGAAATAATCTCTTAGCTTTTGCATTCTTTGGGCACCACAGTTTGGGAAATATGGATTGTGTACCTTTGTAGGCATGTTCTGTTCAGGATATTCCTGAGGTCTTGCAGCCAGTCCTTTTCTGTTCCATTTGTGGCAGATAATAGTTCCTTGAGAGAAATTATGAGTTTTAGTATATGTTTTCTTTAAAATCCCGAAAGTTGTACATTGTTTACAATTTTTAAACAATTTTAAACAGCTACTACCGTAGAATCATCTATTGTAGGAGAGAGAGTAAAATTTAATCTATATTAATGGAGCTATCAAGAACCCCAGTCCATTCTAAACAGTCCTTAGAAAAGACATTGAATTAGCCAGTGACTTATAGAAAAATTATTGAACTTTATAAGATGAATGTTATGGTAAAATATTGTTTTATTTAGTACAGAGAATTAGAATTGATTGATGTAACTTTTTACCTTCTATTCTTTTCTGAGATTGCTTACCTTAGTTTTAGATTGCGTTAGGAGGTAGAACTTTTAGACAGGTGTGAAATTAGTATTTCTCAAGCAATTTCATGGTAGAAATTATTAAATTATTGTAGGCATTATATTTGTTTTGGATTTTCTGACAAGTTACAGCTTATACTCCTATCCTGTGTGTGTGTGTGTGTGTGTGTTGTATTTAGTTATTATTAATCCTGTAAATTTAAGTGGCTTTGAGAATTTGTTGCTGACTTTGTGGTATCCTTTAATATGTATATATAGGCAGCAGTGCAGTGTTAAAAACTCAGGGCTGAAAATCACTTGAGAGAAAGATGCAGCAGTAAAGCATTATGAAATTAGATAAACATACCACTTCAGTACTACTTACATATGTTTAATATTAGATATTTTAATGTTCGGGTGGAGTTATTTTTATTGCCATTTTAATTGTGTATAAGAAAAAACTACTTAATGGGATATAAAGGAAATAGTTAAGAAAATCATCAAATATATTTATTTTAAACAATTTTTTCCTTCTCCCCATTTATTAGTCTTATCTTTTATGTCTTTACCGCATTACTCAAAGATCTCCTTGTGCATGAAGTTACACACAGATCCACTGTATACCTCATAAATCTATTTCTTTTGTTACAGTTAATCAGGCAGCAAAAGAAGACACCATGGTTTTGAAGATTGGCTCTGTTGCTATGGCTCCCCAGGCTGACAATCCCCTCGGCAGATCTGTCCTCAGGAAAGATATTTACCAGTAAGTTTATTTTCTTAAGCTCAATCTTGCAACAATTTCATCCTGCAAAGAAGTACACTGATCAATAAAACTTGCTTAATGTGGCCTGTAGAAATAGTTTTCATTCGGAATCTTTTGATATTTAAAACCAGGTTTTTCTGATTTTCTTCAGTTGTGGGTTTTTAAATTCATTCAGACAAATCAAGTATTTCTGTGAAGTGTTGATGAATAACAGAATGTAAGTAACAAGTCACCATAAAACTGAAGAAGCACAGTTTGGAAAATTTTAGCAGACTTTAAATTTGACCAAATCTCTAATCACGTAAGAAAATGAGGTTCTCTCTAGCACTACCATATCCTACTATATTCGTGTTCTAGCAAATTGAAGCATTTTCTTAATTTAACTATAAGCTGTTATTTGAAATGTAGAACTGTGCATGTCATGTGGATCAAAGCTGTAAAGAAAAGCAAAACTTCTAAGTAGAAATTTCACAGTAAACACTTTCTGTGAAAATGCCACGCTCTGGATTTTGTCACCAAGTATTTGCAAACCACACCAAGCATACATGGACAACTGGACTGGTGAACATATGTAATCAACATGATAAAAATAATATATCATTCATACTGAAGTTGGCACTGCTGCCAGACAAAAAAGTACAGTTGCAAATAAACCAAGTGAGAAGAGTCGCAAAAATACAGATGAACAAGTATCTTATTCTTTGTGCTAGTCTGTTTTTCAGATGTCGTAGGCTCACTCTTTTAAAAAATAAATTCCTACTGTTCTCTAATAGATGTTGCTGCTAGGAAGAGATTATGATTTTTTTAATGCATTTACCACCTAGAGGGTGACAGCTATTTTTACTTTAAGTGGACCTGGGGATTTTATTTTTTCAAATTTTTCTGATATTTGAGTTTATATTTTTTCCTGTGAATTATATATCATACTCTTTCTCATATTAATTTTTTTGGTAGCTTATAGTATTTATCCCTTAAATAAGTTTTTATTTTGCTAGCTTATGTAAAATCTTAGATGTCAGAAGTGTAGGAGGCTTTAGGAATTATGTAATCCAACTTCCTTATTTTTAGATTAGGAAACTGAAGATCTAAAAGAGTAGTTGTCTCTAATCAAATAAAGATAGAGCCAGAATTCAGATCTTCTGATTCCCTCAGTATCCAGGGAAAAGATTACAGTAGAATCCTTTCTGGATGAAAATAATTTAATTTTCTAACATTTGGAAATTCTTTCAGGTATATTTATCTTTTCTTTTCACTTCAGAAATAGTGGTCCTCAAAGAGGGTGCTCTTTCACTTTTGGTGAAAGAAATATGTTTCATATTAAAAAAGCCTATCACCATCAATAAAGTGAACCACTGAGACTTCTTTTCCTCCTCTGTCCTTTCCACTCTCTGCCTCTTCAGCAGTCATTTGTGGAGCTGTGGCTCTCATATTCCTGCTGGCATTGCTTCCTTCCCTGCTCCCTTCCTGAACTTTTTTTCTCAGTCTCTCTTCTTATTTACTTTCCCTGTTTTCTTTGTAACTAGTTTTTCCTTCCCTTTCTGTGTCTTCTTTCATTCTTTACCTATTTTCTATGTTTTTCTTTACTTTTTACCTTCTTTCCCTATTTTATTTCCTTCTCTAACTACTTTGTTTGATTTATTTTATAGAATATAGAAATATAATGCCAAAGAGTAAATTAAGTGTAAAGAAAATCATGTATTTTGTCTATAGATCTTCAGTGTCTCACATCCTGCCTTACACAAAACACATAAAAATATGAACACAAAAAGTATATAAGAAGTACTGTGTGTTTATAGAATAAATGTCTTTTCTTTTTTTTTTTTCAAGGTTTTTATTTTTTTTCCTTTTTCTCCCCAAAGCACCCTGGTACGTAGTTGTATATTCTTCATTGTGGGTCCTTCCATTTGTGGCATGTGGGACGCCACCTCAGCATGGCCCAACGAGCAGTGCCATGTCCACGCCCAGGATTTGAACCAATGAAACACTGGGCTGCCTGCAGCGGAGCGCGTGAACTTAACCACTCGGCCACGGGGCCAGCCTTTTCTTTTTTTAACTGACAACACCAAGGCACACAGAATTTTTACATGTTTTGCCAAAAGCATATACTTAACTAATGGCAGAGCATTTCCGAATCTGTTTCTTATTAATTCCTTTCAGAGTTCTTTTTAAATTCATTTTTCTAATTTCCCCCTGGTTATGCAGTTTAGTCATTTCACTGTCCTGCTCCCTTTCCATGTTTTGTTTTGTTGGGTTTTTTTGAGGAAGATTAGCCCTGAGCTACTATCTATGCCCATCTTCCTCTACTTTTTATATGTGGGATGCCTGCTCAGCATGGCCTGATAAGCAGTGTGTGGATCTGCACCCGGGATCTGAACTGGTGAACCCCCAGCCACCAAAGCAGAGCGCACGAACTTAACTGCTGTGCCACCAGGTCGGCCCCCCTTTCCATATGTTTTACTTCCTCTTTCTTTTAGTCTGCTCTTTGTGTTTCTTCTCTGTTGGTTTTTCTAGTTTCTTCTACCTTCTTCTTCTGATAAGTGGCATTCATAAAAAACCCACAGCTAACATAGTTGATGGTGAAAGACTGGATGGTTTTCCCCTATGAGCAGGAACAAAACAAGGATATCTGCTCTCACCACTTCTATTCAGCAGTATACTGGAGGTTCTAGCCAGGGTAGTTAGGCAAGAAAATAAAATAAACAACAACCAGATTGTAAAGAAGAAATAAAACTGTCTTTTTGCAGATGACATGATCTTGTATATAGACAATCATAAGAAATTCGCTGAAAAATTATTGGGCAAATAGACAAGTTCAACAAGGTTGCAGGATACAAAATCACTATTTAAAAATCAGTTCACAATAACAATGAGCCATGAACAATCTAAAAGTGAAATTAAGAAAACAATTCCATTTATAATAGCATCAAAAAGAATTAAATACTTATGAATAAATTCACCAAAAGAAGTATAAAACTTACACTCTGAAAACTGCAAAACATTGGTGAAGGAAATTGAAGAAGATCTAAATACATAGAATCATACCCTATGTACATGTATCAAAAGACTTAGTATTGTTAGTTGGCAGTGCTTCTCAAAATGATCTACAGAGTCAACAGAATCTCCGTACAAATTCCAGCCTAGCTTCTTTGCAGAAATTGGCAAACTTATCCTAAAATTCATATGGAAATTCAAGGGATCCAGAATACCAAAATAATCTTGAAAAAGAAGAACAACGTTGGAGGACTTATACTTCCTGATTTCAAAACTTATGGCAGAATAATAGTAATCAAGAGAGTGGAGTACTGGCATAAAGATAGGCATATAGATCAAAGGATAGAATTGAGAATTCAGAAATAAACCATCACATTTATTATCAATTGGTTTTTGATAAAGGAGCCAAGATAATTCCTTGGTAAAAAGTAATCTTTTCAACAGATGCTTGTCAGACTACTTGATATGCACATGAAGCTGGACCCTTACCTGACACCATACACAAAAAGTAACTCAAAATGGATCAGAGACCTAAATATGAAAGCCAAAATTCTGAAACTTATAGCAGAAAACATAGGAGTAAATCTTTGTGACCTTGAACTAGGTAATGGTTTCTTAAAAATGACACTAAAAGCACAGGAGACAAAAGAAAAATAGATAAATTGGATTTTATCAAAATTATAAACTTTTGTGTTGCAAAGGACTCTATCAAGAAAGTGGCAATCTACAGGATGTGAGAAAATATTTACAAATCACAAATCTGCTAAGAGACTTGTATCCAGAATATGTTAAGAATACTTACGACTCAATAATAGGACAACTGGGCAAAGAATTTGAATAGATATGTATCCAAAGAAAATATAAACATGGCCAGTAAGTGTGTGTAAAGATGTTCAACCCAATTAGTCATTAGGGAAATGCAAGGCAAAACTACACCTGCTAGAATGGCTATAATCAAAAAGACAACAGATGTGGAGAAATTGGAACCTCATACATTTCTAGTGGGAATGTAAAATGGTGCAGATGATATGGAAAACTGTTTGGCAATTCCTCATAGAGTTACTATATGATGCAGCAATTCTATTCTTAGGTATGTTCCCAAGGAGAATTGAAAACATATGTCCACATAAAAGCACGTACACCAATGTTTATAGCAGTGTTATTCATAATAGCCAAGAAGTGACAACTGCTCAAAGGTTCATCAGGTGGTAAATGGCTAAACAAAATGTGGTGTACCCAATACAATAGAATATTATTCTGCCATAGAAAGGAATCAAATATACATGGATCAACCTTGGAAACATGCAAAATGAAAGAAGCCAGACATAAAAAGCCGCATATTATATGATTCCATTTATATGAAATGTTCATAATGGACAAACCTATAGAGATAGAAAGTAGAGCAGTGGTTGCTAGGAAAGGAAAGAAGAATGACTACTAATGACATAGGATTTCTTTTGGGGGAGATAAAAATGTTCTGCAATTAGATAGTAGTGATGTACAATGAGATGTACAGTGCGTAATTATACAATGAATGATGTATAGTGAGTACAATGAGAATATACCAAAAAACACTGAATTGTATACCTCAAAAGGGTAAATTTTATGAGATGTCACTTAGATCTCAATAAAGCTGATTTAAAAAAAAAAAAAAATCAAAGGTTGGTGTCACAAAGAGGTCCAGAGGAGTTAAATTCCAGAGAGAGAAATACCCTTCCTAGGTGAGTGGAGACTGGGTGCTCTTTCAACTCTGGATATTTGCTTTGTCTGGCTATAAGCAGAGGGATTTTGTTGTGGGAAGGAGAAATCAAGAGACATTTTATCAGTCATGTGGTGAGTGACATATTGAGAGTGATGAGTGACATATTTGAATCTGGAAGAGCGTCAAGCATACAGTCAGTTCTCCATAGTGCTTTTTCTGAGTGTTGGGTGAGGAGAGGAAGTTAAGCTGACAAGAAGAAGTTGAGTTTCTCAAAGTTTCACATTCCTTAAAAGATAAAGCCATGCTA